GGCTGGTTTGCGTCCTGTGAGTTTCTAATGGAATATAAATAAGTACTCCACAGATGGATTTACTTAGGTATAAAGTCAGTGATTGCGGAAGATGGTTCTATTGTCGACTCTTTAGCTCACCGCTATAAATGTCGACGGATTGTGGGGATTGGCTGTTTGGTTTGTAATATTGGTCTATAAGGCCTATGCCAAGGCTTTTTTTAATGTAAAATACAGTGCGATCATTTAAACTTTGTGACAATGGATCACCTAAAACATCGCTTAATGAAGTTTTTCAAGTAAAATGATTAACGGTGATCACCTTTTTTCTTTTGAAAAACACATAATAAATATAGGCCTTCTGCTGCTTGTTTTTTGGATAAAATGGACATAAAAGGAGGGTGTTTTGAGGCAAACGCCAATAACTGCAAACCAGTTTAGTGCATCTGACCAAAAAGGCGTATTTCCAAGCAATATGTCAGCTGTCTTTGCAGACCTCAAGTCATAGGAAAGTTCAACCTGGCTGTGGTATTTTTCACCTCAAAGAGCTTGCATTTAGGAATAGACCATATTTTGTCAAGGTTAGCAGAAACAGGTTACACAAAAACAAATTCACATGTTATGTACGTAAAGTAAAAAATGTGAAATACTATGTTTTGTTGGCAATATATTTACGTCTTTAAGTCAACTGTCAATTGCTAACCCTCATGAGGACAGTAATATATCTGATATCCATTTTTATGGCAAAGGTACAAATATATCTTACAAAGACAGGAGTCAGCATTCTCTTTAAAGTGGCAAATCATAATAGGGCTGATCGTTCGGCTGAACATTGTCAACCTAGACAGAAGAGCTTTCTAGGCATGTAAACGTCATTATTTGCAATTACTTGCGCGTTTTGTATCAAAACAACAGGATTATATTATGAGAAATGACTCAGACTGACCCACTCAGCGCTCGGACTGATATTGGCACAAAGCACAGAGTTATTGTCCCTCGCACTCACAATTAAGCTGTGAAGCAGCAGAATCACTCTACATTTTCAGAGACATAGTTCATTTAGAAGCTGTTAAAGCAGTCAACTATCTAATATAAGTATATCAACACTGTACACTACAAAAGGCTACGACTAGTTAAAGTTGGTCGTTTCTTTCCGTTTTGACCCTCTAAATTATAAGGGGATTTCTGGCAGCAAATCCTGAGTGGGACTCTTCGGCTTATAGCCAAATGAGAGTAGCCTTTATTAATGGGATCTGAGTAGAGTTAAAGACACGCGTTTTAGTTTGCTTTGGACACAGACTGATAATTTTGCAATCATTTGTGCAGACAATGACCATCTGTAGGCAGTAAGGGTTGATTAAAGGCACAAGTTAATAAATCTAAATTAGTCTATTACTGGGTCACATAATTTTATTCCGCAGCCAAGCTAATGAAAACTTAACCGAAATTCATAAGCAGGCTGCAGAATCGAAAAAATCATTCGGATAAGGTTTAAATACTGTGGATTGTGGTATTAATTTTCACTATTTTTACAAAATTTCCTTTGAGCACGTTAAAGAACAAATTGGTCTTCAATGCTTGGACGACTTGGCGCACACATTATAAACTAACTTCGTTTTTACATAGGTTACGTAGATTTAAAATTTCTTTTAGCACGAAAGAGCCTTTATCTTTAAAAGTATTCTTCTATTTTGACACATATTAAGCTTTTTGTACTCAAAAATACCTTTACCTTTCCATAGTTTCCATAACGGCGCTCACAATTTGCAGGGGCATCGTGCAAAATGTATCTAGCTCAGGTTCTATAGCGTTTTCTCCGATCTAAATAAGGCCGGATTTTAGGACTGCCCTCCGGAAACCTTAAAGATCCTGAGAATAACTGAAAATAAACGGTTTTGTTCAAGTGTAGAAAGCGCGCGAAGGACTCCAGGAAAGCACAATTTCCTTCGAGATGTCTGGAACGAAAACTGACCTGTATAACGGGTAAAAGAGCAATGCATAGAATATATATTAAGTACGTGGCGAGTTTTGTGTGAATGCGATTTCCGCTTTGGCCGCGAAAGTCAACACAAATAAGCTAGTAACACATGCTACACCAAGTTGAAGGTATAGTGAACTCTTTAAGCAATGTATTCCACAAGACAGCAGACCTAAAGTTTTGGAGGTACCTCTCGTCTGTGCGTCCTCTGAAAAAGTCTTACTTGATGAGATCACTTTGATTAGAAGAAAGCTTTGATCGAGTTGTGAAACTCGACTGACTGTCAGCATTGAATAAAAGGCGGATTTGTATTTTGATACACCTAATATCGTCGCGATTACTGCTCGCTAACAACTGTCTTTTTATCTCGTCCTGAAAATATTTTCTTGTGTAATAAGGGTTGCTTCCTTGTTTAAAAATTATATAAGTTGCTGTAGTAAGTCTGTCTGCGCTATGGTCACAGTTAACAACAGTAACTTCAAAGCGATCACTTCCATACTAAGCACCATTGGGAATTAACAGTGCCAAAAAACGCATATTCGGGCGTGTTTACTATTTTTACATTAGACACAAAGTTCACAAAATTGGAACGATCTATCTATTTAACGTACTTGTAACACAAAGGTAATAAACTAATGCTTTCTGCATATAACAAAAGGGAAGCAATGAAAATCCTTTTTATCAGTTTGAGCGCCTCTACACTTTACTTTCTAAACGCCTTTCACATGCATATTAATATATCTCATGAAAAACGCTTCTGGCAGAGAGCATACTCGATCTAATTACTGTAGTAATGTGTTCTGCATAGGTTTACGCGCAATCCCACAAGTAATTTGGCAGCATACTGCGCAGTATTTTAGAACCATTCCTGGACTAAATGGCTTCCTGCATATTTTCCTCAAATGGCATGCGTAAAACTAAAAGAGGGATTAACGACCAACGAATAAAAATTTCAGCAAATTCCTCATTATATTAGGATAATTTTTAAACCAGAATTTGCCTATTCTTGATGCATGGAGCCGGGATTTTTTACGGAGTCGGCTGAGACACCTAGTGCAACTGTTATACTTGCCAGGAATGTTTTTTGGTATTGAGTGTAGTAATAGCATAAGCAAAAAAACTGAACGTCCATGTATGTGAATGGCGCCGACTTTAAAGTAACAGAACAACCTGCTCTAGTGAGCCACACCTTTAATAATGGTGAGGCCGAAATACTCAAAAGGAATAACGGCTTGTTGGGCTTCTAAGTGGTTGCCTTGTTTTTGGACTCTGATCCAGGAGAAACTCATCCTGTGCTGTAAGGCGTGACGATTACAACTTTGCATTATCAACGCAAGACTGAAAACCATGTTGGCTGAATGTAATTATGAATGTATCTTTCGTGCAATTTTAACGACCATTTATGCAGACGAGACCTGTAAACCACTGGACATGCTTACGAACATCTAACAAAGAAACATTTAAACGTTTACGATTCTTCCATAAATTCGAAATTTTAGGCAAATTACTTGGTGTTCTGTTAAGGAAAATGTTTTGCTCTGCGTGAGGTCCTATCCAGGTTCTTTACAAGCATGCACGCATATTTTGCATGGGAGCTGTTTGACGTTTATCATGTTTTAATCTTTTAAAATTGCAACTTTTCGAAATTTCCCATATGGAAAACGCAAAAATTCGAGAAGGTCCTCATCAGAGACCTGAACTACCTCTTTAGGCTAGCATCTATCATGTTCTCTTATCGTCGTTCGTTTTTGCACAATCCTTTAGCAGTCTTTTATATGCATTTTGCTCGGCAATGTTTTAAAGGACGACGGAGCTTGCTTGCTTAAGTGCAACATCTATGACAGTTCGACAGAACTTTCGACATTATGCATTTAGAAAGCACTGGTAAGTGCAATTTCCTTGGAACAGCAGCCATGCGTAGATATCGCTCTACCAGAATATTCTAAATGTATTAAGACATTGGATTACGAGCCCACAGAGCTGTACTCTTAAATAACTAAGTATAGACTTCGAGTGTGTAAAAAAGCAATTGGTTGTCGTCTTTCAAGGTTTCTTAACGTTATCAGAGGAATGATTTCTATGAAAGCATTAAGAAACCAACGCATTAATAGTATACGTAATTCTATTCTAAGAAGCCTACTGACAACAATGTAAGTCCACAACGCGATTTCTTCTCAATGGCCGGGCAGATTACATGCGGCTGGTTTCGGAAATCTTCAGTCGCGCTAGTTGACACGGGCACTAGTTTATCCAAGTCTAGAAGCCACAACAGCACAAAGTCCTGCTGCCCTCTACCCAACGCCCAAGGCCTCAAAAATCTATATTTAGTTTTTTTTCGACTTCAAAAGATAAGGACTGCCTCTGCCATCATATTCGCTAGCTACGGCATAATTATATTTGTTCACATTTTCGTCAGACTGCACATCTGAAGCAGCAATAACGCCTATCTGGGTCATAAGGGTGACGTTGCGAAGGCGTGTCCCTCAGTGTGATAGAATGCTTAGCTAAACTACTGGAGACGGGGACCGTTCACAAAATCCCCAGCGATAGTTATCCGAGATAAGTGGTAGGGTATATGTTAGATAGAGGTCCACATCCGAGAACGAGTCGGCTTTACCTATAGCCCCCAAACTATAAAACTAGTTTGCTGAAGGAAGTTGAAACGCTACTTCGCGCATTTCAACGATCGAAACGACATGCTGTAAGCAAGTGGCATGAGGCAATTCCCCATTTATAATCCTCTGGTGGTTGCAAGCCGAGGAAGTGAAGTGAACAGTTAGGAATCACATGTTCTTAGTGAAAAGGATTCGCTCGCGGTGTGGAGCTGTCGAATTTTGCCGCGATCATTGCCGAAGCATTTGATTTTCGTCAATATTTACCGGAAGCAAGGCGTAGGTGTTTAAGGATAGCTTGCTTCCTCGAACAAGTTCCAGAGTATGCTAAGGTTTTTTACCACACCCACACGACATTTTGACCGTCGTGTCTGACGATGTCCACCGTGTGTTCCATGGCTAGGTGAAAGCAAGCACATTGACTTGCGCGTGATTTACCTCATAATGAGTGTGTACTTGGGAAGCATCTACCGCACCCTCCTCTCCTCCCCAAACCTTGACCCGATATCAAAATATAGTGAAGAAAACCGAAGGTGGGGGAGGGAGCAGGTATCTGGCGCGAACGGAACCGCCACTAGGCATGCCGTCACACCCAGCTCGGACTCCGTGGAGTAGGAGTGTCACAAAGGCCAAATTCTGAACGAGCCATTGCACCGCGACTATCAGACCACCAGGCGGGCGCTCTACGCACACAGACACTGGACCAACTGCATGGTCCAAGTTATCCGTCAGTTGGCAACCTTCCAAGCCACGGCTTTTAACTGACCACGATAACCCTAAGCGCGCCGCAACCGGCCAGATGACGGGTGCGTGAAATGGGCACGGCGGCTGACATGTCTAACGACCTTGTCCGAACGCGTTACATGCAAGACCTGGCCTCCTAAACACAAGCACCAGAATTCCACACAAGAGGGAGAATGGGCGGCATACGTCTCATATGCGGGAGAATGCCGGGGGTCACAGTGAGAAAGAGCTGCGGCAGCCTGGCTCTATATAAATACACACAACTTGGTAGACTGCATGAATTGAGTTGGGACATCAATCAGCAGCCTCTCAGGCCATGGTGCTGGACGAGCGGAGACAGTTTATGTATTGGATCGCACGTGCGGCAGATGAGCCGCATGGGGAAGGAGCCGAGATGCACACTTCCCACTTACGTGAGAGGTGACAACTGGGGGTTTGTGATAGGTAATGCTGTCGTATGTTGCGGATACTGGTGAGGGAAAACGTGATGCCGTGGTGTAGTCGGCGGTTTTCTACGGCAGGTTTTTGTGAATGCACATGTGGCTTAATAGGCCCATGCAATGAAAGAATATGCGGATGCAGTGAGGGCAGTTGAGGTGGATGTGCTAGTGTAGGTGCTTCAGGCACTGGTTCGACAGTCTCTGTGCCATGGATGCGCAAGTGGTGGTGTGCCGATTTCCGTGCTCGTGAATATGCATGTGACCTGGCGCACCCATGGGTGAGTGAATATGCGGGGCAGCGGGGACAGTGGGGGCGGATGCTTCGAGCGTAGGTCGGCCCTCCAGGCAATGGTTTGCAGTCTCTGCGCGATGGATCCGCAAGCGACCGACCAGGCCGATGTTTGGGGTAAATGTGCGGTCGCAGTGAGGACGGGTTTGGGCCGAGTGCACACAACTGGTGTGGGCGGCGGTGATTTTGATGTTTGACGGTGCGTCATGATTGCTGGTAGTGGTAGGAGCCGCCGCAGCGAATATTGAGGTGGTAGAACATGACAAAGGGAGATCAGGAGCGCCGATAGGGTTGGTTGTCGACGTGTGGAGCGTGGACGGGGAGACAGCAGTTGGTGCGGTCCGGGTGCTGCAGTTGGTTCGGAGAGATCCACTGAGACCGATTGACGTCCAGAACGTTTGCCGACATCATGGGCAAGTCCGTGACCGTTGGTTGTTGGGGTTGTAAGGTGGACGCAGTTGAGATTTGCGAGCTTCTCATTTGGTTTTGGCAACGCTGATAAGGTTGGGTTCATAAGTCGCCTCTCTTCACTATCCTCCTACAGGCCGGTCGGTGCGGGCTAGCTCTTCCCAGATTGCTGGATTGACCTGTAGACGCTTCATGGAAGTCCCTAGAGTTTCCTTGTAGCATCGTGCTTACCATCCTTGGCCGAGAACACTCGTGACAACATCTGCTCGTTGTCCATCCGCACGTGACGACCGCTCCAGGACAGTTGTACTTGTCTCAACCTGGCGTGGATGTCGAGGATTCCCGTACGTTCCAGCACGTCTGTGTCCGGGATCCGGTCTTGCCACGTCAGTTTCAGTATCAGTGGAAGACAGTTGAGGTGGAAGTAACTAAGCCTCCGCGCCTGCTTTTTTTACGTCGTCCAGGTCTCCGTTCCGAATAGCAGCATCGGCAGGATGACTGTTTTGGCGCTAAGAGGAAGACCGTAACACTCTTAGATAGTGTTGTGTAGGCGGCCGAAGGCTTATCTGGCTTTGAAGATCCGGTTGGCCAGAAAGGGTGCTGCCCAGGTAGGTGATGTTGTTTGCAGTTTGCATTTGAGCGCCGCTCACGTTGATGCATGACCACCGTCTTCTCCGTGTTCATGATGAGGTCAATATCGTCGCCGACAGCGGCGCAGAAATCCATACTCCTTTGCACGTTCCTTTCAGAGGTGGCGTCGTGAGCGTAGTTGGCGACAAAGATAAGTTCATGGGCGACCGTTGATGATACACGCGACTGGAAGTTCCTCCGCCGCTGATTGAGGAGTTGGATGTCTGTCCTGTGGGCACGCGGATTCCGGGAATTAGGAGTCATGTCAGCAGAGGACATGAAGCTGAAGAGGGCAGGTGCAAGGACGTAACCCTGTCTGCTCTGTTGGTCATTTCAAATGCCTTTTGAGACGACTCTGTGGTCCGTGATAAACGTCATCATGTCATCGTGGAGCTGGCGCACCACCTGAGTAAATCTCTCGAGACAGCCGAATTTCCGCATAATTTTCCACAGTCCTTCGGGATTCACCGTGTTAAATGCCTTTTGCCAGATCCACGAAGGTGGAGTAGAGATGAATCCTTTTGTCCAAACACTTCTCCTGTAGGTAGATGGGGGAGGTCATGTCGGTGGTCCAGCGGTGACGGCGGAAATCGTATTAGCTTGCCGACAGAAGTCCCTGCTCCAGCTGGCTGTTGAGACGGTTGAGCAGGATGCGAGCGAAGATTTTTCCAGCAAGGTTGTGGAAAGAGCTGCCTCTATGGTTGTCGCATAGTTAACGGTTCCCTTTCCGCTTGCATAGATGGACGATTGTAGCTTCCCTGAAGTCATGCAGAACTTCTCCTTGATGCCACATCTCCTGGAAGATTGATGTCAGATGTCCCATAAGTTAAGGGCCCCTGCTTGCAGATCTCAACAGGGATCACGTCCGATCTGGACACTATCCCCTAAATAGATGCTGCGCGGCCCCGATGGTCTCGTGGAAGGAAGGCGAGGGGTTGAGATCGGCGTTCGTCTCCACCTGACGCAGAGCGGCGATGGCGGCGTCAGAGAGGGTGCAGAGACGGTCGAAGACGCCTCTGAAGTTCTCAGCTCATCACTCCAGAATTCTTATCTTCTCAGTGAGTAGAGTTGTTCCGTCGGCGCTCAGGAGGAGAGTGGTTCCCTTATCTGCGCAACCGCAGACAGCCTTGAATGCAGCAAAGAAATTCTTCCATTCGTTGTGGACCGCGCATTATTGGATCTGCTCTGCCCTGCGAGCAGTCCAGGCGTTCTGTATCTCTCGCAGCCGCTGTTGCACGAGGCGGTGACTACGTTATAAGGCTGCTTTGTTGTCGTCAGTAGGGTAATTCACGTAGATTTTGTGCAGGCGGCTCTTCTCGGCGAATAGGTTGCATTCGACGTCGTGCGCAGTTAACGGCAGCCAGGGCGGTCGACTGGATCGTGCCCGCCCTCCCCCCTCCCAAATGACACCATCGGTTCTCCACGGACAGGGTTCTTGTCGGCGGCAGCGTCGACGATTGGAAGATTAACTAGTATTTGGTATAGCTCATTGCTGAAATGGAGATGGTTAGCAGGCAAAGACAGCAAAACAATATTCAGTTTACTTTAGGTTTGATTACCTACATGGCTGTAGGTGTATTCTCATCTTGCAGATGACGAGGCGATGGTAGGTCCACCCGTGGGCACCCGGAATCGCCTCTGTCACCAGCACGTCCTGCTGGTCCCGGCATCGAACGAGGACATAATCCATCAGGTGGCATTTTCGCGACCGAGCGTGCATACAGGTCGCCTTCTCTTGCGTCGGAGGGTAGAAGAAAGTGTTGGCCAGAATGAGACGGTGTTAAGAGCAGGTTCATAGGAGAAGCAGGCCATTGCCATTGGAGCTGCCGAGAAAGTTGGAACCCAGTACTCCTCTTCAATCAGCATGGTCTATGCCAACGCAGGCGTTGAAATCACCAAGGATAATAAAATTATCCGCCTTCGGCACAGTCGCCGGGATGGCGTACAGGTTTTTTGCAAAATTTGTTACCGACTATGTCAGAGCTGGTCATCAGGGGTGCGTAGACGCTGATGATGGTGGCGAATTTGCGCCCTTCAAAATGCAGACGGAGGCTCATCAAACGATCACTGATGCTCTGCGGCAGGCAGAACAGTTGTTCGACGATGTCTTTACGGGTGGTAAAGGCGGTGCTTGCGTCACATCCCTCTGCATTAAGCCGACCGGTCCAAAAGAAGGTATAAGCGGCAGCCATCTTCTTCAGTTGGCATTGTTCTGAGAAACGGGTCTCGCTGAGTGCAGCGATCTCCACCTTGAAGCACGCCAGTTTCCGAGCGGCTAGCGCCGTTCTTCGTTCCGCCGGTTGCTCCTGGAATTATCCAAAAGAGGACGAACATTCCAGATTGTCAGAGTGAGTGGACTCACTTTTGCAGCCTGTGAGGTGGGGTAGGGGGAGGAGGGAGAGGGAAACAGTACTTGATCATGTGTTTTGACTTTGGTCGCATGTAAGGCAGTCTGCCAACCACGGCCTGCACGCAGACGTTGTGAACCCAGTTTTGTTTAAGACACCTTTTATAGCCGCTTCCCCCTCGCTCAGGAGGGCATTGCCGTCCTTAAATAGGGCTGCTTTGTCGCACCAGAAGTATACCGCTCTCACCTGTGGGTCACAGGCTTTATTGGCAGAACGGCCAATATCCTGGTTCGCCTACGTGGTTGCTCGTCGCCCCCACTGTAGGAAATTCACCCATGAGGTAGGAGAGTAGAGTAGAGAGTGGAGACTGAAGGATGGAGGGGCAGGGTGGAGAAAGGTGAGGGGGATAGATACGCACACACGTGCACTCACACACGTCAGTTCGGCCGTCAATGGCGACCATACCCACTGTCTACTCCACAGCGTGGTGAGAGCAGGCACGGTGACTTGTGCGTGATTTATTTGATAGCGATAATAGACTTGCGCTGCATCTACCGCACTCTCTCCTACCCCGCCTGGGCCCATTGTCAAGACGAAATTAAACAGATCGAAGATGAGGGAGGGCGCGTGTGGATGGCGCGGCCGGAACCTCATCTTAGCTACCACTCCACACCCCCTGGTCCACAACAAACACCTGACCAGGATTTCAACCAACAACAGTAGTGGAGCGGGCGACAGGGATCCCCATTTACGTGACGTGAACCGGCAAGTAGGCCTACCACAGCACTCCGAATGTTGACACCTTTTATGAGTGCGCATTCCCCGACAACGCCTGCCAGAATCCAATGTGACTCCTGTGTTGGCCCAGTGCATCTCCCGCATAAACCATTTTGGGTACACACATTCACATAAGGTCTGAAATAACATTTGTATTTTATAATTGGATACCAGCATAGTTGCTCAGTATCTTGGTCAAAATCTAAACGAGTGAAAATAATTAAATACAGAAAATGCAATTAAGCTGGAAGACAGCCTTGTCGGCAAAGCACTTGGGCTTATTTGTGTCCATTTGACGGTTTCCCGGTAGTCAGTAACAAGTCAGTATAGATTTTTCACGTTTCGAGGGCATGCCATCTGCCTGTGTAGCCTGGTCGCTTTTGACATTCAAGTTAGACGCCATAATAAAATCAAGGAAGAAATCCGTTACCTCCAGGTGAAACAAAATTTTACTTTTAAATTAGTCTCAGGTATAAGATCTGGTCGGAATTGCCTCTGTGCTAGCTAGGAAACTGACCCAGATCTCCTACTACAGACACACCCAGAGCAAGGAACGTGATTCGGAAGTGCCCTCTTTAGAAACCTCGCGGTACTGTTAGGTACACGGATTCTTTTGTTGTCACATTCCGTCTATTCTTCCATCCTGCTGGAAACAGAATTGAACGGCATAGCTCCAGTCTTAGTAAAGTGGCTGACGGCATCCTGTGTGCTAAAACATATTTACACGTTGATCATAAATGTCTTCCCCACAGCATTGTTGACTATCTGTCAGTACCAGTTTTTCTCAGCTCTCATTATCGTTGCCTTCTGAATGAGCGGCATCCTGAAGTTCGGCTCGCCGGCATTTCGTGCTCAGAGGCAGCGCACACCAAAGGAGTGTGGTTGGCCGATATCCAGTCTTTTGCTTTCCGTCTGCCGTGCTATAGATGAGTAAGCAATGCTCAGACAAAAAGGGGTCTGTTGCTCCATCACACCGGGTAGACAAATGTTGTAATCTTCCGGCAAAGGTAGGTTGTTATCGATGTTCAGGTGAAGGCGGTCGACTGTTGCACCAAGCAGGTTTTCGTTGGCGTAAGGCTTTCTTGGACTTCTTGAGACGAATGCGTGGTCGCGGTCAGCACACCTTGTTGAGTTATGGACAGAAACTCAACCATGTTTGGAATTGCGTTTACTGAACGAATTACGGGATACTCAAGTCCGGTTCTTCTGTGGTACTCCGTCTAGAAGCCTGAGAGCAGCTGTATAGCGACTAGTAGTGTGAGCAGAATGAGCAAAACTAATATTTTCAGTCGTACCCTTTATCAGTATGCTGCTCTTGTCATTAATCTGTTGGCATTATTCCCGTCAGTCTTAGATGCCTCTTTTTCCAGACTTATCTTGATCTAACATTCTGGTTCCTTGAAAACTGTTCAGCATTAACTATGTTCTGTGCAATTTCCGCAGATTTCGTATTACTTGGGGAATGACAGTCTACTTTCTTTCTCTCATAAAATCTGGTTCAACCAAGTCCCACTTACTATGGTAAAGATTGTTGGAAATCCAGGAGTTGGAGCGAAAATGACCTTCTGAATCAATGTGAGGTGTTTTCACAAGGTGCTAATATTTGTAATGTTTGAGTTCAGATAATGCTCATGAAACATTTATTGGAAATGACTATGTTATTCCGATCTGAAGTCGACCATGCGTAACTGTCAAAGAGCCAACGCGACGGAGGGGACCAAACTAATCTCCCCTAACTTAGTCCATACTGCCTTTTTGCGTATAAATTGTGAATATGCCTATATTATAAGATATTTGTCAGTTTTAATCTTTGATTTCTTCTCTTTTTCTTATATGCTACAAGCTTTGGCAAAATATTTCCAAAATCGCGAACGGCAAACAAAAACGTTTGGTAACCAGAGCGCCGGACTACGACATTCTTGTCATGGGAATTACACATCAATCAAAAGTCTTGCTTAAGAACTGATAAATGGAGCTCGAGATCACTCCGCCTAAGAAATGGAATTTTATTTTAAAATGCAGTTATGTTAGAAAAATTGTTTCAAAATCGTAGGCAGGACTGCATGCAAACCAACTAGCGGCGAAACGTAAATGCTGAAGAGAAATCTAAAATCATCGCCTTCGACTGTGCAAGAGTGGCTGACCGAGGCACAA